CAGTTAACAGGACAAATGTGATCTCGCAAAGGCAGGGCCGATCACCTCCTGAGGATAGATAGCAAGAGCAACCCCTGCTACCCGCAGAACAAGCTATTTGCACATTGGTCACTTGCACATCCAGCCACATCAGTCAGGTAGGCAACCTCATTTCTTGTCATTAGCCTTTCAGTTCGACGTGAAGTTATTGCTCAGAAAATATAAGATGAAGAGCTGACATTCCAAGTATATCAAAACAGAGAAACAGAAAGAATGGCATTCACTATGGATATGCTGTGCACGAATCCTATCACATTGGTTTGAAACAGCGAATTTATTTTCTAGGTAACAATCTGTGACATTTTAGGACACGTTATCACTTTCTGGAGCTTGATATAACCATTTTGGGAGAAATTAGTCACATCCGCTCATGGAACTCTTACCAAACAGAAATAGAAAACCAGTAGTCTTTTAAATACTCCCTTTGGGGATGCAAGTTGCCAGGTATGGTTTGTTGAATACATGTGCTGGTCATACGTTGTGGGCTATCGCAAGCCAATTAACACCACCTTGCGTCTCTTCACCTGGGTACTGGCATTAGGGTTGGAGCACTCCGTATTTGCATCCCAGACTTGGATATTCTCAGTGTTTCTTGTCTGATGAGCCAATTGGCTCACAGCACACCGGCGTTACTCACTTTGCATGACTTTTTGGATACACGCTTACGCTGTTTGCACAATCCCCATCAGATTGGTCTGAAAAATCATGTTTTTGTATGCGAATGTCTCAGCATTTTCACTGTTACCTTTGGCTCTTGCAATATTTATTGCTTTCAATATATAAATGAAGGCAACGAAATTTTGCACAAGCAAAAAAGGCTTGGTTACGGTATGAATTATTCTTACGCAATCTCGTGAAGTAAAATGTAGATTTCAAGAGAATGGACTTGCCCACGACGTTCTGAAAGTAATGTCGCCCTTGATGTTGAGCATTAACGGCATATAAATTCAAAAACAATGACTTCCCACTGGAATTGGCGGAAGTTTAGGACATGCTTTTGTTACAACGCAAGTTGCGTTTGATTCTGCACATCTTTAATCTTACTGTATAATGACGGCAAGTTTCTGACTTCCTGCTGGATCCCTAAAAGCCGCATCACATTCTCAGAATGAACATCTGTTATCTGTAACACGTTTTGGGAAAGGTGATATATTTTCGTTAACAGCTCAGCTGTACCGATTCTCCATCTATATACACATCCACGAGCCTCGAACATCACGACCAGCAGTATGCAGTTCAAGATTTTCAAATTTCAAGATTTATTTCATTTTCTTCAGCATAATAATCACACACGATAATAAAACTGTTAATAAATACATAAATATGATTGAATGATACTACAATACACTTTAGAAAGGATGCTGTAGAGGGGTATCCAGTGAAAGCAATGCTTGTAGATTTGGGCCGCGTTTGTAACATACTTATTAAATTACAAACACACACACCCACACAATGTACAGACGACCACCTGTTCAGCGTGTTTATGCAGATACTTCAATTTTCGAGCATTGTTGCCGCTCAACGACCACGTGGTATTGAATGAAAAGACTAACTTGGTGAAGTTGGGAGTTACCCGGTGTGAGGATATGCAAACTAACGTCTGTGAATGACGATTTTGCGTAACACCCTGCGGAACACATTTCTATCACCCTTTTAACGTTTGGGCGGGAACATTGCTATGCAAATCACGGTTTTGCCCATTTAGAACAAGACGGATGCATTGTGGCCTGGTCGATTCTTCAACAGGTGGCTTTTCTCCAGCAAGGGCAGAGCGGGTGAGTCCCCAAAAATGATTAATTCTCTTGGCATGTACATGTACATAAAAAGAAAATGCTTGTCTCGTCGTGTGAGAGCGCCTGTTGGTTTTATGTAAGGTATGAAAAGGTTTTTGGTAGATAGTGAAACGGCAAGTGCTGTAAAAGCTGAGCTGGGTGGTTTTTTTCACCGCGTCACACCGTTCATGAAAAAAATTAACAAATTCAAAGAAGAGGAATAAGACATCCCGAGGATTTATTTAAGTGTTGCACTTTCAGTCTAACAATTCTTAGATACAAATTGGCAGTTTCCTTTTTACTGCAAATTATATACGAGGGATACGATGCCCTGGAGTTTGCAAATTGTAACAATCAACATAACTTTGGAGCAACTGAGCAGCTGGAATTTTCGGCGTGAAGAAGGGCGTGTCTGGAATGTCTCTTCGAGTATAAAGTGGGTGGATAAATGTTAGGGGTGTCTTGAGGGGCGCGGGTTAGCGTAGCGGTTTTTTCTTCGCTTTGCACCAATGAGGCCCGGGTTTGAGTCCCGGCTTGGCCCAGGCTTTAAGTGCGTTGGTTTCCAGTCCATACTCGCTCTCGCAGGTTTTCTGCGGGCACTCCGGTTTTCTCCTGCCTCTAAAACTGGACCTTCTTCCTAACTCCGTAATGTGATGCTGATTAATAAAGTGTATTAAAAATAGCCTGAGTTGCTGAAAGCGCCATTAAAACAAAACAACAACAACATGGGGGGTGTCTTTCATCCCTCACCATCGGAACGGAAAGGACCGTGAGCTTCACGAGTGTGCCCACCCCCGAAGGTTCAGGGGAGTTAACCCCTGGGGCACACGCCTGGGAGCCGAGACTGGGAGACCGCCGCCAGGTGGAGTCTTAACCCTGCACTTCACCTGCAGTCATTTAACAACGAGAATCAAGAACCCCAAGAACAGAACTTTGAACTTTCCGTTTAAGTGCACAAAACAGCTGATCATGACGGTTGAAATAAAACCCACACGTTTTAAGCAGGTTACACTCCAAAGTCAACCGATATCCCAAAACATAAGGTAGGCTTAAGGATATGGAATTCCATATCTGCCCTCGTGCGTCGCGCGTCGCCCGTCGCGTGTCGCCCGTTGGTTTTTTTTTTGTCACGATTGCGCAGTGGTATTTTTAACTTTGACCCTTG